CACTCTCCCTGGCGACTGGACCGAACAGTGGACTGAGCAAGTGTGACTGCTTTGCTTTTATTTCTGGAAGAATTCCGGACGTAAACTACTACATATTCTTAAATCACTGCTCCTAGTTAAGTCAAAAAGTCGAAGTAAGCTCATTTATTCGCCCTGAAACTGTTTTAATCATAGCTATTCATTAATAATTTTGGTGAATTAACCACAACCAGGGGTTAATTTATTGTAGTTAGCAAGTTCAGTGAGAAAATAAGCTCATAAATAAGTTGGCTGGTTAAAAAGTTTTGAACATAAGTAAAGTAAGTTAAATGCTTCTCCAGATCCAACAAACAGAAAAACGAAGACATGTCGAACATAGACGATTTCAGTTCTCTTGGAAGAGTCAGCTCAAATAGGAGTCTTGCGTTGGTAGTGACTCATTGTACTGGCGTAGGCAAATTTGATACATTTGTATGAAATATGGAACAAGCAGAAACAAGCCGCGGCAGTAAATATTGCTATATTAAAGACAGTCCTGTTCGTGATGCGGATGAAAATTCGAGGAGCATCTGTTGTCCTGATGGAACATCATGAACTCGCCATTTACTGACGTATTTACAAAATGTGACATTATTATCAAGTAATGAACAAACTGAATATCTCGGAGGAGCCGGAGATTATTTTCCGTTATGGAGTATTTCGAAACTCAATGGCGAAGTAGCGTGGACAATCGTAGAAATCTTAAAAGCATATCGTCGAGCCATATCTACTGGCGATGATGAGTTCTACCGTTGCCTAATGCCAAACTGAGGTACCACTTTTAACGGTCAAGTGTCACAAATGTGGTCGGTTTTATTTTCGTGGTGTGTTTGCGTCTAAAGCAACGATAGCAAAAGCAGACTCTTAAAAATAAAGATAATACATTTTACAACATACATTCAAATTTATGAATGGCAGGTGATCAATGATTCACTGGTTAACTTAACAAAGTCTATGCAGAAGCACATACTTCACTCGTAGTTCAGTTGCTAGGAGTTGCCCCTGAACTTGTTACATGATTTATTGCTTTGGTTGAACTCTCGATGTTGAACGGATAGCATTTCAGGCAATTTCAAGCAAAAAATAACACTTGAATCGCTCGCTTGATCCAAATAGTAGCGTCAAACAAATGCTAGAAGTTTTTATAGAATTGGCCGGATGTTTTAATTCTCCCCTATCTGAACCACTACTTATGATTATGCTGAATAGTGCAATTCTAACAGAAAGAATTAGTTCGAAAGGTTTTCACCTTATGGCATTTGGGCAGTAGAGAATCGATTACATGGCTGCGAAAATCTAGTACTGTCAGTGCGAAGCTTTTGGAACTCAAAAATTTTTGATCCTGTTTTTTCATGGATCTTATCCTCATTTTGGTTGCATTACAAACGCTGCACATTCTTGCAACATTCTCTGCCCTCGACAGATCTGGTCAAGTAACTTGAGCAATGGGATCACTTCCTATGATTCATCGATTTCTAGTTGTTGTACAGATCGACGTGATTATCTACGCGTATTTTCTTGATTTTCATTTGAACCGTTTTCTGGCAGTCAGTTCTGTGTCCTAACCCTCTTGATTGTTGCTGAGTTCTCCTCAGCCTTCGTCCATCCCAACGGATTCATATGAGGGCATCATTGTACTTGGTATTAGTCGCTCACGTGTCATTGCCGAATGGAAGACAATCCCCCAGTTTTCCATAATTTCATGCCACTGTAGAGAGCTCCAGTGCCATTTACAGGTTCTCATTTCAGCTTCCACGCCTGTTTCAGCGCACAACAGCATTAGGTGATACCGTAGCCGAAGCTTTCGTATTATCTTTGTATTTTGGTTTTTGTGTATGTTAATATTGAACTTATATATTCATCTGTGTATAAGTTAAACAGTGTATAATAACTAAACCTTTATTTGCAGGAAAGTTTGCCTTTTCTTGAGTCGTTCTTAAGGCCATAGTTGTTTTGTTTATATTTTCGGTTTTTAGAGCAAATGCATGCGGAATTATGTTATGCAGAAACTTTGCTTGAAAGAGCTTTGCTGACTTTTGTCCAAGACGAGAATTTGATCAGCTTCGTCAGAGGCGCGTTTAAAATCCGTTCCTGTTACCAATCTTACAAGTAGGTTCGCCAGATATTATTCAGACACAATTGTTGTTATTTTATTTGTATTCTGATTTTTATCAGGTGTTTTAATTTGAGTGATACGAAGGTATTAGTTACGTATTCGTCCGTAATGAAATACCAGTTGGCTATGGTAAGGCAGACAATCTACGAAAATCGACCCCAATTCAGCCTATAAGAGGCAATACGTAATACGTTTAGGTTATAGGCGAAAAGTTGGCTGGACTGGTCGTAGAATTAGGTTCAGTCTTTACTCGCATATGCAGATCGCCAATGTCTTCAGTAATTGCATTTTTATAAGCAGTAAAGCCTGATACGCATTCTAAATACATACAGAAAGGAAGGCAAAGCAAAAATACATGCCCAGCCTACCTGTAAAAGACCAAAATTTATCTAGGGCAGGTGTATAGAAGGACTTTGCTCTAGAATCCGACTGTCCTCTGCCGGATTTCGAACTCTGGCACAGGATCAGCAATGTTGTAAGCACTGTTTGACACGACTCCCTCTGCGATCCGAAGGGACAAGCGGCCATCGAAATTGATTGATTGAAAATCTGCTATGTTATTTTCGGTTGATATATGTTTTTTGTTGACAAGACGTGGCATTCTGCTGTATATTCTGGGACATTAGTAAAGTGGTAAGAGGTGAGCTTCGAGCTTCGGAAGTGTCGAGTTAGAACCATGAAAAATTCCTTGAGTTACCCTGCTTTTAGTTCTTTTGAGCAATGCATTCACCTCGTATGAATTCATTGCTATCTGTCGAGAATTAGGTGGTAAGTCGTTGACTTTTGGAATAAAGACGGCATGGCATTTTGACATGGTCATAACAGAACTAGTAGGACCTGCGGCTACTTTGACTGATGCGGCCACCTCGTAGAAAAACAGTTCGCTTGTACTGACCTGATAACTGACTACGCGATGTTCAGTGCTAGTGCGATGATCAGCACTAAGTGTTAACATCGAAAATACCTTTATCGATTAATTTAACTTGTTGATGGATTGTTCATTTTAGGGAGTGTCAAAAGATGCTCTTGACCCACCGCTGGTCCAACCCCATGCTGAAGCCTGATTTTGAGTCGGGCGTGAGGCTAGGTATCGGAACGTTTAACTTATTACTTTCCGCACTGCCAAGTCGTGTGCTGAAGTTACTCGAGTTCGTCGGATTTCAAGGTACAACTAATGGTTAGCTTCGAGGTATCAAATTATCGATTCATTTCATAGGTGACCGAAAGTTCGGTCTTCAACAACTTCATATGACGGTGAAGATGAGAGGGTCACTTCGGCACCCTCTGGCAATCCTCGTATGTCTTGCTTGGAACCTGATATTCAACGCCGTTCTCGGTCTCGGCGATGTCAATCTTCAGGAATGTAGCAATCTGCTCCGAATGCTGCTCACCGACTTTCCGACTGTACTTCATATATAATTTTTTTACTCTATGTGAAAGCAGTTTTGGTCATTTTCAAGATTGAATCGTATAATGATGTTGTTGAATCCCGCTGAGCGGGTCTATGTCAGTGAAGGTTCATGCCGTCAACAGTACGATGGTTCATTTGCATGTGAGAATGTCGTTTCGCTACCTGATCATACAATTTTCTTCTCCATTATCAATTGCAAACATGTGACATGACAAAAGTTATCGACCAAGGGAACCTCGAACGGCTGCCCGACACTTTTGTACATGTTATTCTAACGCTAAAGCTAATCGGCGTTGACTACCAACATTTTTCGCATGAGCACCTTTCCCATGAGCATATTTTGCATCTTTTGCTGTCATGACTGTTACGTTGGACCATGACTTTTAGCAAAGCCTGCATTGCCTGCTACAATGTTATCTAAATATATTACTTTAGCAAGTCACTGTAGATTTGTGTTGTATAAAAGCTGTGACACGATTGATGTGTACAGAGGTAATGTCTTCAGTTGTAAACACTCGTAGCATACTGTTAAGTTCAAATAGATACGATGTTGATATATTATCTTGGTGTTGATAATTGCGCTATTGTAGTATCATAAACTTAGTTGTATTGAGTCATGATCTTCTGAAGCGGTGAAACGATTAGCACAGGAATCTATTTTTTATCTGGCGTGTTGATTTCATCATTATTCCAGATGATTTGATTGTTGAGGGAAATGTTTGTCTTATTGACGAATTCCTTGAGCAAGGAATTTACACAGATTGCTTCATACCGAGATTGTTCAGTCAATAGAGGGTTGAACTCAGAAGCTATAGGTCATTCATTCGAGTTCCTGTTAGGTCACTCCCATTTCTTCTTTCCCATATTGATTAACAACTGGTACTGTGTCGGAAGGAAACCGGAGACAACATGCTATGCTGGCCGCACATATGCTGTCGACTTTGCGTTTAAAAATTAAGGTGTTTCTGTCTGATGACATAGAAACACAGCTCACCATTGCACTATCAACTTCATGAAAACAAGGGTATTAAAAATGACCCCGTCATAAAAGTGTGTGAAAACCGACAAACCTTTCTTTTTCACCTTTTCTGACGCAACCATC